TGCACGAAACTCTTCATGTGCCGGTGAAAACTCGGTTTGATACGGACCTCTAGTTTCACGAGATATTCTAAAATATTTTGTTATAGTGACATTCGATTAAATTTATTGATCTCTTCAATCCTTTTTTGTTGAACGGCAAGGGATGAAGAAACGACTCCTTTCGCTGAACAAGAACTCTTCATATAAATGTTAGTAATTATCGAAAGCTTAGATTTATGGCTACTGCGCTAGGTGCATGCTTTTTGAAAAAAAAAAACGCCTTCTAACAGCGCTGCAGTATTCAAAACATAATAGAAATACTATGTTTCACAAGTGTTCCCTTCCTGCTTGATTTTCACACTTATGTTTGGCTGAACAAATTTTTTCCTTAGACTGCTAATAAAATCATTCGATAGCTCAACCCCGAGAAACAGAGAGAAGTGCTTGCCTTCCCAAAAAGGCCTTTTCACAGCGCCGCAGCAAGAAGAAGTTTCGTGTTTTACACACGCGTATTTATAGCAGGACAGAAGTCTTTCCTCAAATTATACGTAACCATTCAACAGCGTTGACTACGACGACTCCAACACCGTGCTTATCTTCTGGAAAGACCGTCTCACTACACTGTAGCAGTGAAAATAAGACTGAGTTACACATACGGTGTGCATTTGCTTGTCGGCTAGTGTGTGGACCAGGTGTGCGCTAGCCGTGAATCGATATAGATCGTGCTGGCGCGACTCACATGTGGAGTGCGATTTTTGTTACTGAATCTAGAATTTTTCTCCGCTCTATAGAAATCTCTGGATAAAGCTTATGACCTTGGACCTGAAGATCTTCTCTACAAACTCATATGCTTTTCGTGCTTCCAGCTAATTACAATCGTAACAAAAATTATAAAGCGCGTGGCGAAGGTGACACACAATCTAATTTTTAGTGCCATAACGCTATAGGAAGGTCTTTTCAAAAAAAAAGAAAAGGCAACGCAGAAGCCCGAGATTTGAGCTTTTGATTGTTAACTCACACTTTCAAGAGAAATCCTTGTCCAGAAAAAGGAACCATTGTTCATTCCGTCCGTCTAATAGAAAGGAACTTCGCTTCGAAAAAGCCAAATATATAGCGTTTAGTGTTGAGAAGCACCATAGTTGTTTCATGGATTTGTGTCCGTTTATAACATTAGAAGCGCATATATTTGCCTATACAATGATTCTAAAAAACCTACCGTTGTGCCAAGTCAGTCATGCATGACCGTTAAATTACTATAATGTACTGATTCTAGATGAATGTGGGACTTTATAAACTCGGCATGTATGATTGGATGATCAATTTCAGATTTCCGTGAGCACATCTAATCACTGCATTAAAAACAACCATACAAAATAGTAAATATTATTGCACAGGCAACTGGCATGTATAGAACGGTTATAAGAAGTGATATGCAACGCGCGTTTGGTACGATACCACGGCTGGAGTTTGTTTACCAATCCCCCAGAGTCAGCATATCGGTAAGAGACTTGTCCAAGAGACTATCAGCAGTGACTCAATAGACCTTTAGGTTACCGTGAGTTATCGTGAAAGCCAAATATGCATCCAGTCGCCTCTAACATTTTTCAAGAGGTACATGACGCATCTTTAAGGGATGGATCAACTCTGAGCGACTTATCTTTTATCATTTCACCAAACAGAACTGATGGATACAGTGATTATAAGGATATCTGTCGTTTGAGCAACTTAAGTAGTCAAGCAGTGCTGTTTTGAAAAATATCAATTAAGGCGACGGCTAAATTTCTTGCTTGGCGTGAGGACTTCACTTAGTTAAGAGACTTGAAAGCTAGTCTTCGATGCTTTCAAATATGTTGAAAAAATATGTGTAAAAGCTCAATATTACTCAATTTCTACTCAGAATATGGAATCCAGTCAATCTATGCGTATCAATCGCTACCACAACACCATCGATGCAGCATGTCATGGTCGCTCAACGAAAAGTTGTGCAGCTTCTTTTGAGGTAGATACTTCTTTGAGAAAAAAACACAATTCAAATACATTGAAAAGCCGATTCGATTCCAGGATTCGCTACTGCTTTACTTTCATTATCTTGCCAACCTACCAAAAGATGGAAGCATTTTGTAGAGAGCTTCTTATAATTTAATTATGATAACTAATGCCGAACTGAAAGGAAAATCGATTTCCAAACGGCAATTTGTGAATTTTGTTCTCCGCGCCGAATTTTGGAACTGTCAGTGATATTTTATTTGGTGTTTCTAGTTAGATACGAAACTTGATATAGCAGTAGAACTCTCAGCTCTACACTTCAGCTAATTCTACTTGCTCTACCAAAATGAACAATTTTTGCAGCTCACATGTACAAGCGATTTTGTTATTATTTACTTTTTTTTAGCACTTCACTCAATCCGTCTCATAGCTTTTTATTCCAATTCCAGTACTTCTGGCTTTCAATTCGCTTTTCGTATTCCTCTTGAACGTCGTAGAATACTGGTAGAGCACGTTTCCATGCAATGTCGCGGATAGCCTGGCTGTGGCGCTCCATAGGGCGTTTGCTTTCATTGTCGGAGAATAGTGAAAGATAAGGATCAGCCCTCCGCCGCGGCGAACATCACAAGCACTCGGCCACCGCCCACTCATTGTTATAATTTTTATAAAAAAAAAGTTTTGGTGTCATTAGTAATTTCCTCTTTACTATGACCATCACTAATATAATTAATATTATTATTCTTGCTACTATAACTAGTTTTATGATTTATTTTTATTATTATTGCTAGCATTATTATCATTATTATTATTGTTATTATTAATATTGTTATTATTATTATTATTAATTATTATTGTTATACAATTACAAGGAGGATAGTGACCGCATGGTTAGTGTTGCTAATTTTCAATAAACAAAGTTCTCGTTTCGTTCCCCTCCATCAGCACTCTGGCAATCACGTGTTGTCGCAGCTCGGCTATCTATAAGATTGTAAGAAGATTAACTCAAAGAGTACTATGCGTATTCAGAAAAAGGATGAGTCAAGCACCACCGGAAGCAACAGTACAATATTCGAAGCCCACAGTAGGGGACGAATGGAGGAGACGAATCAAATGTAAGCGCTGGGATCTACACAGTAAATTGTGTTGACGACTTGTGCAAAATAAGTGAAATGATTTTCAAAACCATTCTTATTGTTGCTCTTATTACCTCTATTAGTACGCTAGAACAAGCCAATAACTGAAAATTTTTTCCGTCAAATTAAATCATTAGTAAGGCAAGCATTAGGTAAGACAAGCGTATTGATCAAATTGACTGAATATCAATATGAATAAAAATATAGATATTCATCCGATATGATAAAATAAGCCCCACATTCATCCTTTCTGCCAATAATAATGTTGAACAGTTCCACTTCTGCATGCATAGTAGGCATATCGAATCCAGCCAACGATCACACAATAATGATAGTTGCCCTTTAAAGCAACCCACATTTCACCACCGTCTATTTGTATTTCGATGAAATTGTTGGTGAACTGCGCGCCGCTGTTTTTGGCACGTGGTGGAGCTCTGTCAACATTGGAGAATTCATCTAACCGTATGTAAATACCGAAAGCTGCTGAAACACATTTGCATTAGGAAATGAGAGAAAGCAAGAAAGGTTAAAGATTACTTAATAAGTCCCACATTCATCCTTTCTTCGGATAGTGATGTTGCATAGTTCCTCCTTAAAATCATGAAACGTCATCACTTGCTCGATATCGTCGGCCAACACCAATCCACCACATGCGGATCGAGCTTCGAGAAGGAAACCTATCTGAAAAGCCGATGTGCTGACGCACTCGTTTGCTATCGTTGTTCACCATTAGTGCTGGCGTACACTCGCCGTGGCTCGGTATTGTGATCGGCTTACTGAGTAATCAGGCCTCACAGTCTTTTCTTATTAGATATGATCCGTTCATAATCGAAGCTAATCTTGAAACATGCTTGAAAAATCACCTTTCTGACGTGTTGGTCTTCACCGGTCATATGAATGCGAGCCACAGATGCGCCACGGAAGGTAACGAGTGACTGCAACCAAACGCTATTGATTTTTATTGAAGAAAAAAATTTTTAAAAGCGATAATTCAGATAAAGGGATTGGATATTGGATTCTTCACATGTCTTAGAGTTTCGCGCAACAGATCATTCCGTTTCTATGTACACACCATGAAGGTGGAAATCCAATACGAATACGATTTTCTTTCATAGAGGAGATATCGCGCACTCACATTTCGGTAACTTATCGCATAGTCGTGATCTAGAAAAAAAATACATCGACAGCAAAGCACAGGTGGGTCGGTTACACAGTAAGAAAATCGGATGACATATCAACTTAAAGAACTGTAGAGTGGACTACACGTGAATGTATCCAGCCCCTTAGACGACAACCAACTACACGTTGGGCGGGCGTGGTCGTAAGAAGTCAATCAGCTGTATTCGCAGATGTTGGTATTTTATAGATCACCGTCCGATTTGCGCCAGTCGTTATATTCGATTTGAACCACTGCCATGGCGACAATCGCGAGAAGAAACGAATCGGAAATGTGCTGGGTCCGCACAATTCCTGAAGACGGACCGTCCAGGTATCCAAGTGAAATTAAAGTAGATTATTTATCAGAAAACAATTCAGCACAGTTAGTTGGCCCCGACGTCCACGTCTCATTTGTAATCGGCTGCATGATAGAGCATTCCTGGTACTATACTAAGTAAACCAGAGGATTTTTAGCCTACGCTGTGGCCTTAGACAATACGCAGGATCGATTTACATCTGGCGCTCAAAGTTCTGCATATCGCTCAACACTAGTGGATATGAATTAGTAATATCAAGTCATCCCTAATACGGGTAAAAAAAAAGAATTCAGGTTGATCACACATATAGCCAATATCTGTCAGTGTAACTGGGATCAGCGATATTGCTTGCCAGGCCGAACCGTTGGCGATTGGTTGCTGATCGATTGATACATAGTATCACAAAAAGAGTGATGACAGAACAGCAACGTCAGTAGTGCAACTGGTCAGCAACGCACTGTCAGAAAGGGTGAGATGCGGGATCAATTCCCGCCGTCTGACGTCCAGGTTTTGCGTACTACTCAACATTAAGATATATATACATATATATATATATATATATATATATATATATAAATACATATATATGTATATATGCATATCTATGTACACATATGCATATACATGTACTTTATCTGTATACATATGTATATATATACATGTATATATATATATATATAATGTATATATACTAGGTTGGAAAGAAAGTTTCCATCGTTTGGGAAAACATTCAAAATTTATACAAACATTCCGACAACAAACAACAACAACTATTCTTCAAAATACAGGTCATCATTATCCACCACTTTTTGCCACTGGTCCGCCATGTTTCGGATCTAATCGAAGTACGACTTCTTCGGCTTTGAATCAAAGAACTCTTGACATGCTTCTTCAACTTTACCGAAAGATTCAAATCGGCGACCTTCCAAAAAGTGTTGTATTGAGCGGAAAAGGCCATAATCAGATGGAGCAACGTCCGGACTATAGAGTGGATATGGCAGAATGCCAACTCTGCCCAATTCCTCAAACTCTGCTTCGGGCTTTCTGGTTGTGTGTGGTTTTGCGCTGTCTTGCTGAAAAAGCGCGCTTTCGGCGAACAAGTTCTGGCTACTTCTCAGCCAACTTCGTTTTCCTCGCTCCCCGTAGTAAAGATCGATGATGGAATTGCCATTCGGAATGAGTTCGAAATGCAAAATTCCTTCAAAATTCCACCAAGCGCAAATCATGACCTCTTTACCAATTCGATTTTGACGCGGTTTGACGTTTTTGTTCCCTGGACTCCATTCAGCAGCAGATATAGACAAATTATATATCAGTAGATGCGCAAGAAGTGGAATTTTCAAATGATATGAAAATCACACACGATTCATGCGAAAAAATGACATTCTCATCCAAATGATGGAAATTTTCTTTCCAACTTGATATATGCAACATCATACCACCGCTGCTGGGTTGAATAACTAGAATTGGTACTTTTCCGTTTTCTTCACCTTGTTTCAACCCCTTAGGAAAAACGTATTTTCCAGTTTTTTTTCAGAGTTTCAGTATTTATTCGATAGATTGAAATTCTAGAATTTAAATTGTGCATCTATTTCTTAAATAGCATTCATACTGTGCTCTGAGAGTAAATATGAGATTATGTTTCACAGCCAAGAATTTTTACCGGACATAGCTTTTTACCTAGAATTCCAGTAGCCAGTTGAAAATAAAACCTGCTGTGCTGTAGCGACCAAAAGAAAATTAGATTTTGCACTCGACGCGCACTCTTTCTCCAGTATGTGGATACGATTTGGCAACAGTGTCACCAAGTCACCTCGCTTTTCATAAAATGACAGTCAATTGCAAAAGCCAATCTTCCTTTGGCTAGTGCGGCTCAGTAAGAAGTCTTCAGTGTTAAGATTTGAGCTATCGAGCGATTGCTAGTTGTCTAGAAAGAAGCTTTCTTCAGCAAGAAACGCTTGAACGCGAAACAAAATTCTGTTCTTAGTTAGAGTGCACTCAGAAGAGCGCTGAAAATAATGTACATTTTCAAATCAAAAAATTTAAGCCATGGATGATTACAAAAATTCTAAAAAAAAAAGTCAGCAATCGCGTTCTTTCCAAGTAGTCAAAAAACGGTGCGAATAACGGAAGTGATCCAAAATTGCAAAAGCCACTCTTCTTTTGCATGCTACAGGGCATTTGAAAATCTTTCTAAAAATTAAAAGTGCATAGAAAATGCCGAGGTTCAAGCTATTGAATGGGTACCAGGAGTCTAGTAAGAAAGCTTAGTCAAGCGAAAAATGCCCTAGTATGAGGCACAATTTATTTCCAGTATTGCAGCGTAATAAAAAGGAAATTCATGAATAAAAAATCTCTATTGAGATCCTCGAGATTCAAGCTATCGAATTACTTCTGAATCATTAGAAAAAATCAGAAAACATATATTCTCAAGTAGCTAAACAGAATGGACACGAAGGAAGTGATCCCAAGAAATCTATCGCATCTACAACTTTGAACCTTGTTATAAACATTCGATATAGTCTATGAGAATATTTGGGGCCTTTTCGAGGTTGATACGTTAATGGCATACGCACATGTCGCCGGTATCGCTCGCTTCATCAGTTCCGCAAGCCCCACACTGTGCCATATTTTATAGCATGAATGGGGAAACGTTATGATGATAGCACGTGATATTGTGTTATCACCATATTTTCAGTCGATAGCATACCTGGTCGTGAATATGTGATATCCATCTTATCGACTGCTTTCAAACCTCCCTGTAAACACTCAATATAGTGGCCGGACCTACCAGCCTCGGAAAGGCTTCAAACATCCCCACAAACTATCAAGAATTCCGGTTTAAACCAAGTAAATTGTCTTCTGACTGTTAATAGCCGAAAGATGCCGGTAGTAGCTAAAAAAGACGTCGTGGTATGTGTTCTTCTCGGAGATAGATTTCACCCAACTTCTAGAGACATATGTGTTATGGTCTACAATTGTTAAACTCTCTAATTAATTTGTGGGAGAGTGCTCACAAGGAGCGCTTACAGCTGCTCCATCCTGATGATGTTCCGAAATCTTATTTTTCGAAGTTGACTGAATGACCACAATACGATGTAAATATTCACATGGAATACATCAATGTAATGTCACCTTTGAAGCATATATGGGTCACTATGCTGCCGATGTGTAATGAGATTTTGAAACGCAAGTGCTTTATAAGACCATAATGTTAATAGATATTATTTCATCAAAATTAGAGGAAGGTGGAGATTTCCAATAAAAGGAAATGTTGAAATAAGAAAGGCCTCTAAATAAAAAAATATCACAACTAAAAGACGGTATAAATATGATAAAGATGCGTGTTCCAAAGCTCAAGTATCAAATAAAGATACCTCGCTAGAAAATACAGGTACTTCCCTTGGCTGATCGATATCCAGACAAATTCTTTCAATTTTCTCCGAATTCCTGAACTCAATTATTTGTTAATGACGAGATAGATTCAAAAACTTGCATCACTATCAATTACCACTTATCAATATTCAATCGTTTCGATAACTTCTTTTGGTGTAATCCAATAAATTTCATAATACATGATATTTGTATTCGTTTGTGGTTAAGTGCTTTATGATTTTTACACAGCATTTTGTGCGAATTTGACCTCATCAGAAAGTCAAAATGATACTATTCGGTTATGAGGGGATGAATAAAAAACCGGTCTCATTCAGTGGAGAGAAACTTTTCATAGGAGTGCTCACAGCTATTCGAAAGCTGAGACTTTAAGATACAGCCCCACGTCGCCAAATCTCGAAAAAGCCCTTTTCTGGAGTTTCTAAGAAGGAGATTTTTTGCGTTGCAGACGCGTATGATTCTCGACAAACAGAGCTTTTACTAATCAATTGTTATAGGCAATAATTTACGTGTATTGCATTTTGTAAAAAAAAAATTTTTACTTGTCATTTACCAAAAACCGAATTCGAGCATGTTTTGATTATAAATAAGCACTCCTATTAATATAACATAGGCTCCATTTTTCTAGCTACCGTTTCACATTTTAAATATTATAGCAATAACCGCTATGGTTTGTAATCAAAAGCTAGATGATTTTTGTCTCATTCGCAGTCTTTTATAGCTAAACATTGACTTCAGAAGGAAGTGCACCTCGCTGCTATAGATTACTGTTTTTGTTTGTTGTGCTCTGACCGACTCACGTGCTATTTCCACCGTAGATGGTGAGCGCGCCTTCGATCATTGGCAGCGGGTCTTGACATCTAAAAAATTCTCGTTGAAGAAAAAATAAACGAGTTGCCATAAAAACACTGAGGCTTCTAGGATTAATTCTCCTTCTAAAATCTCTATGTCGGAACCATAGAAACATTTACGATGAGTGACAAAAAAGGAGAAAATTATATACATTCTGCAAGGTTTCACGGAGATTAATTTTGATAGTGTCTCCACATATGGAGCTATCCCAGAATCATGAGTCGAAATTGTGACGGTATAAGGCAAAGGTGAAATTTTTGTTGAAGACGAGAACTTCAAGATCGGGCTAATAGGCGCTCAATAGTCTTAACAAGACCTATCATCCCATTAGGATTGCATATATATAAGTATATACACATATATATACATATATATGTATGCATATATACATATACATATACATATACATATACATATACATGTATACGTGGGACGCGTAAAAAGTTCTGTTAATGTTGGGTTCTGTTAATTCTAGCATTGATGTAATACTTTTTTCCTCGTGCTGCTAATTTTATTGGATTCCGTATTGAATTCTGGTCCAGAACCTGTTTTACTTATCCATCTGTTTCCAAGTGTGCTCAAGTTGTGGATCGTGAAAATCGACGTATCCCAGTAGCTGAAGTGCAGAGAACGAAAATGAAAACGACCGATATTTTGAAATTGGCTGATCTCAAACCAGCAAATGTTTACAGAGCCCCGATTTGTTCAAAATGATTGGAGGAACTGATAACTGTCCTTGAAAAGATGGTCCAACCATCTCGTCTACTCCGGAAAACATTCAGAAAACTCGTTGCCAAGTTCAACGAAATCCAGAGCGTTCAATATGCTAAATGGCTTAGCAAGCCTGGGATTAGCGAGCGGAGCGTCTGAAACATTGCTGAAAATGGCTGAAGGTTTGAACCACAAGATCGTTTGCGTTTGGACAAAAGATGAAAGAATGATGGCTTTAAAGGTTGAGCTAATGAATTGTTTAATCGTTGGTGCTCGTTTACCGAAGGTGCTTTTTACGAAGGGAAAGAAATGCACGACGAAATCAAACCACAATCGCTAGAATCGAAATCAAGTTCCCAAGAACGGTCAACGAAAGTGCGCAGTAGTAAAAACCATAGGTCACAGTCATTTTCCGGCTCCTGTAATGATCTAGGTTGGCTGTTGCGCCACTGGGAAGACGCCGTTGCTCTTTATCAACTGGAACATCAAAATCAACGCTGGCCGTCATTATCAGCAAGTTTCATGGGGAGCGCTGGAGCTATGGAGTA